CTACACAGACTGGCTGGCCCTCCACCACTTGCCACGCAGAGGTGACTCAGTCTCCTCACCTGTAATGTGAGGTGGTTATAGCGTCCAGGGCAAAGGGTAGAGGGTGGGAATTACTGGCAGTGATTTACAGAGTGTTCTCAGCAAATGCCTGGCACACAACCACACTCCGAGGACGGCAGGCTGTGGACAGGGTCCTCCAGACCCAAGCCGAGTCTTACCCACTCCGGCAGTGCCTGTGACTTTCACACTGAGCTCCGGTGAGCCTGCCATCTTCATCCCACGGTTTAGTGTCTAGATATACAGTGTCTCTGAGCAATTAGGGAAGAAATCACATAGTAAAGTACAGAACTGAATCCGTCAAGTCCCTTCCAGTCATGGAACGTGACAGTCCCACCCCCACACTCCACAGGACTTGCTAGACACACACACACGGGGACCCCAACCCTGGCCCCTGAACTTCCGTTGCTTTTCTCACACCTTGATTTCACTTCCTGCTGTTTGCTGTGGTAGAGACCACCCTCCATTTTCCATCATAGAAGCTAGTAATCCTGGGAGAACAGGATCTAGCCACAGGCAGCTTGGTAGCAGCATTTGAACCTTTTCTGATTTAGGCATCAGTTTGTCTTTCTTGAATCACCTCTGGCTATCCTGTTAGAATGGGGGGGGGGTAGAGGTCAGTGTGGAACCCAGGAGGCGCCAAGGAGGTCAGGCTGCACCTGGGGCCCGAGGGACCAGAGGGAACCAAGATGCATACATAGACGCCAGCTCACGCCTCCACAGGGAGAGGCTCTTTAGGATTCGGTAGCCGAGAAATCTCAAAAGCACCTATGTGCACTTACCAGGGAAGTCCATGTGTGCAATGGCAGAAAGTGCCTACAGGGCAGGTGTATCTTACAGAAGGAGGAGTTAAAGGGAAGTCATTTGTGCTAGGCTATCAGAGAGACCAAAGGAGGAGGCGGTAGAGGGGGAACCGGCAGGCAGACAGAGTTCATTCACAGCACTGAGTGAAGCCCTTGTGCTGTAGCTCTAGGCTAGGCTGCCAATCATCGGTGACTGGCAGACAACTCTTACAGTGGAAAATGAGGGGGGGTCTCCTGCCTTAGCTGCCCTCAGCACCGCGTGACTTGGGGTATCTTTACCTGAGAATGGCATAAGGAAGTAGATACAATGTTGTCCACCCTGTAGACAAAGTGGGCAACCATGAAGGAGACAGTTACCTCCCCAGAAAAGGGTTTTGTAGTCAGATACTGCAGGTGTATATAGCACACTGACTCCTCTCTGCTTTGTACACACACACACCCAACTTTTGGTATCTCCTTTTCTGTCCAGGATCGCAGGACCCTCAGACCACTCATCCATCTGCTCTTCCCAAGAGAGCATCTTGGATAGTTCCAACCTGGGAAGGAATGAATTTAAAGACAGCATCAGGAGATGACAAGGTTGAATCCAGAGGCCAGGTCTGAAAATGGAGACTGGAGTTTTTTCTCTTCCCATTAGCCTCTGTGTCCTCTTATGCTGTCACCACGTACTGAGCACCTGCTATGGCAGGTGCCACTGTGTGTGGGGAACTACCAAAGGGCTCACAACCACTGCCCCACCGAGGGGGTGGAAACATGAACTCATACTCTGAACACAGGAGCTAGGATCTAAACACGCGTTTAATATTGCCAGTTAACAATTACTCCATTCTGCTCCGTTTGCCCCCTAAGGATGCTTACTGGGCAAAATTTCATAGGCATGACTTGAACTCCCTCAAGATGTGTGCAAATGGCACACTTCTGGTCTGTGTCTACCAGATCTAACGGTAGCCTTAGCCAGGATTTTCTTTGAGGTTCTGTTTGGAGTTTTTCGACTAACTCCTTTTCCTCATGCTTTCTGCTGGAAGAGAGACTAGAAGTCATTTGCTGGTGTACTCCTCCTTGTCCTCTGGTTATATTTGGTTTCTCCTGGCTTCCTTTCCAACCCTGTTAATAATAAAATGCTAACAGGCTGCACCACACTTCCACATACCACACAACTATAGAGTGTAAAAATATGGCAAGCACTGAATTATTCAGTAGGAAGATATTCTATATCCCACATACAAAGTTGTTAGCTGGGATGACATATATGACGTCTGTCCTTGTTTAGTTCTCCCTGGGGGCTGCAAATCTGCTGCCAGGAGCTGTCCAGCCCATCTTAAAGAAGGCACAAGCTGCTCCTTCAGGCAGGTGAAAAATCTCCCGTATGTGGCCTTTTCCGATTTTGTTACTTGTTCTTCCCACACATGAGAACCACACACACTGCACACTGTCTTTCATACATGAGGCCAACAGTAAGCCAACTGCTGTGACAGGTCAGGTGTCAAAGCTGGGGCCTTCTGATCCCTGCCCTCCTGCTCATTAGGCATCCTTGCTCTGACCCTCCCAAAGAAGCAGCTGTGGGATTTAGTTCAAGTCAAGTTCAAGCCATGTTGTGTCCTTACTTGTCACCAGTCTTCCATCAGCAAAGCCAACACCTGGCATACACACATGGACACACACACGTGGTAAGAAATGCGAAAACAAGACCATTACTGCCTGAGCAGAGGCACCTCACCAGCCTCTGGCTAAAGGGACGTGCTATTAGCCATGTATGGTTCACAGCTGTTCTCCGCAGAGGCATGCCTTCCAGAGGGCTTCAGCTTTGTCTCACGTCTTGTAATAGAAGAAAATCCAAGTGTTGAGACAGGCTTGTGCTTTCTAAATGAACTTTCTTTTAGGAAAAGAAGGAAGTTGAGGCTTGAAATTGGAATCATTCCTGAAATTTTTGGGTGTGTGGACAAGACACTTATTCTGTGACCAAGGGGATTCTTGGTCAAATGGCAGCTCTCCAAAAGGACCTCCATTGAGGGGGTAGTGTTGCTGGAATACGAGCCTCTAAATTCCAAAAGTAAACAGAGTCTGGCAGGGTCTCCGCGCCTGAGGGGTCCCACATGATGAGAAAGGGAGGCTCTGAGTTCCAAAGTGGAATAGAGAAAAATAAAGAGCAAGGGAGATGAGAACGGGAAGGAGAAAGAAATGTGAGTCAAGAGGCAGAGGCAGGCAGATCTCTGTGAGTTCGAGGCCGGGCTGGACCAATAGCCTCCAAAACAATACAGAGAAACCCTGTCTCATAAAAACCAAAAAGAAAAAGAAAAAGAAAAAATGAAATGAGAGTCAAGAAAGGTGCCAGGAGACAAGAGAAAAGCGGGTGGTTTCCTAAATGCATGCAGTGCACTTGATCACTTGATCATAGTCACTCCTCCTTCCTCCCAAGTCTTCCTCCTACCCACCCATCTCACTTCATGCCCTTTTTAAACTTATACCCTTATTGGGTCCAAGTAGTGCTGCTGTGTGAAGCTCCCCAGGGAGACCCCTGCTGATTTACCTTGACCACCTCACATCTGGATGGGCAGGACAAACCGCCAACCAACCTGGGCAGCCAAACATCTGAAAGACAACTTTGGTACACTCACTGCCCCGTGACATCCAGGACCCTGCTTGGTTGGCCATGAAACCACTGCCCGTATGAAGAAAGAACTCTTCCCAACAGGCAAGCATAAGATTCTTGAAGTCTGATCGTGACATGTGGTCACCCTACACACTCTGGTTGCTCTGTGGACATGTGCTCACTTGGCTTTTGGTACAGTAGTCACACTTTTACTTTTCAATGTCTCCACAGAAGCTTGTTCGGGATCCTGCAAAGCACATCAATTCTTCTCACCAAGGTTGATTCAATGTTTAGGGTCAAGACTAACTACAAAGAAAGCTCAGGCCTTTTGCTCAGAGAGGCAGATCTGACCATTAGAAAAGCTTGGAAATTGTGGGGGGAAAAATCTAAGTACAAAACAGTTTAGTCAGCCCCAAGAAACTGTTACCTGGCAGATCTCTGCCATGCACAGCTCCAAACACAGAAGGCATCTGGTCTCATCTACACAGCTCCTCCTTGTAAAGATTGTGTTCACATAAGAACATTCCACTTCTGTGCATTCAACAAGCATCGAAGCACTCCTCCCGTGTAGGCAGAAGACCCCTTAGTTACTGACTTTAGCTTTAAATGTTGCAACAGATCAAGAGGAAATAAACAGAAGAAGATGAAATGAAAGTCACAGCATAGTGTTGTCTTGAAAGAAATGACTCTGTTCCAGCCCTGGGAAACCTCTATATCCAGGCAGTGAACTTGAAAGCATCAGGGAACCCCTGTCCAGTATTCACTCCTTGATGCCACCACACCCTCCTCCGCACACAAGCAGTTGCCAACTCAAGTCTGAAACCTCTGCTGTGTAAACACAGCTCTAGTTCCCACCTAAGAAAGGGATGGAAACTCAGAGCTCCCATCTCACCCTACCCAGAAGGTCAGCGTCTCCACAGTGTTGGGGGGGTCCTATCCCCCATCCCTCATATCTGTTCACCCCTCAATGTGGGGGAGGTCCTATCCCCCATCCCTCATATCTGTTCACCCATCAATGATGCTGTATTTTCTTGTCCCGCCTAGTCCTGCAACATTTGAGTCCCAAAATAAGCACACATATGCTATATTAATTATAAAACTGTTGGTCAATGGCTTGGGCTTCTTACTGGCTAGTTCTGTATTAATTATTAACTCATTTCTATTAGTCTATATATTTCCATGTGGTCTTATCTTACCAGAGAACACCTGGCGCGTCCTTTCTTCCCAGCCCTTACATGGCAACTGTTTTACTGTCTTCCTCTGCCTACCTTTCCCAGAATTCTCCTTGTTTCCTCATCCCAACTATCTTCCTGTCTCACTGACCAAACAGTGTTTTATTCATCAACCAACAAGAGAAACATCTATATAGAAGGACATCCCCCATCCCCTCAAGTAAAGGACACAGGAGCATCCCAAATACAAAGAGCTATGGAAAGGAAAACCAAGGCACTCATCTCTGAGGCAGCTCTAGAGGCAGGCAATGGGGTAGGGGCTGCAGAGTCCCCTCCTGTTGGGCTTCCCCTTCCCCCGCCATTCACTGGGGTCTGTACCTGGATCTGAAGTCACTGATGCTCTGCTCTGATGGGCTGTCGCTGTCATTAAAGAGCCCAGTCCAATTGGCCTGCTGGTCGCCCCTCTGCCAAGCAAACTGGAGGCCTCTGGCAAGAAAATGAGGCAATCGATATACACACTCACATGTTAGGTCAGGCCTGTCTAAGAGCCACATACTGTCATTACAATCATGTGACACAATTCCTTGATTACACATCAGAAGGAGAAGATGGTGGTAATTCCATCCGTGGGGATGATGGTGGCAAGTCATGGCTGCCTGTGTCCTCCTTGCCCTCCTGCATCCTTCTCTCGAGCCATCTTTTCCACATTTTACAGGCAGGGAAACTGAGGCTTACTGAGACTAAAGTCACAGGGATCTTCCTATCTGGTACCCTAAAAGAATTCTATCACCAATACTGTACCAGACACAACTTCAAAGATTTTAATCCACCAAATGAGGATCCCGATTCTGGTTTAAGAGGAGGGACTTTGCATATTCTTATCTGGTCCCTCCCCAGACTTGGGGATGATGGCAGCAAAGCTATGATTCAGAACATGAGAATGGAAGGGAGGTGACAGAAGGGACCAGAAACATTACTGAAAGACAGACAGCAAGCAAATGGGCAACTGACTCAGGCCAGCGAGAACAGCGTCCTGATGGCCTACAAGGAGCAGATCCATTCTCAGGACATAACTCCAGAAGGACCGGAATGGAGAGGGTCAGGGCATACAGGTGAGCATGAGGCATGGTACCCAAAGCAACAGGGCTTGCTTAAGTTTATAAAGGGATCATTTAGGTACCCTCCCCTACATGTGTGTACACACAAACCCTCAGGCTCCGGGACCCCTCAGACAGCAGTAGACTTGCTCCTGGGGAAGATGGCTCATGGAGCGGTACTGTATCCAAAGCTGCCAGTGCCCAACAGCCTGCCTGGGTGCTCTATAACCTTGGTGGAGCACTGCCCAACCCAAACCTCTGATCTGGTGAGGAGTGTATTGAGGGAAGACTGACCACATTTTTAAAAGGGCTAAGAAGAAGACGGGGTACCCTCTCAAGTATCTTTGGACAAGCTTCCTCCGGCTAGTGCTATGAACACCTGGGGCTGGAGAACCCTTTGTCTTGTGCTGCATAGGGTGTTGAATGATGTCCCCAAGTCTTTCAGATGCATTGGCCTCCAAATTCTATACAACAATGCATAGAATTTCCAAAACCCTCTAGCAACCGCCAGGCCCTTACATATGAGGAAACTAGTGACCACTTTAGTGAAGAAAACTTGAATTTCAAAGTCTGAAATTCCTTAGAAGGAAGGAAAGGAGGTTACTCCTGACAGGGGGAAGAGGAGACAGATGAAAAAACTGGAGAAAATAGTTAACAAAATTATTAATAAGTAACCTCTTAACTAAGGAATGGGGACATCAGATTGTTTTGGGAGCTGTTACATCCATACCCCTCCAATTGGCTGATGCCCCCAGTCAATTCTCTGTACTTCTTGTAGTCTCTGTCCCCATAATTCAAATGAAGAAACAGTCTAGGATGTCTCTGGGGTCCTTCATGGAAAGTGTCATGGAGGCGAGCCATCTGCTTTTGTACCAGTCAGCTGGCTGAGGTCCTTTTGCTCATACAGAAATCACCAGCAGTCAAGGAATAGCATTTCAGAATTGGTAGGCCTGGGTGCTTGGAAGCCTGGGATGGCAGATTCAGATGCTTGTAGCTGACAAGCCCTGGGACGAGAGGCTTGTGGCTCCAGGTTCTACTAGACAGAGGTTTACAGTTCTGGGTGCTCCAGTTGTAGGCTGACTGCTCTGGGCCCCGACCAGCAGCATCCCAGCAGTTGGCAAGTAGCGTGGATTGTGTTAATAGCAACTGCCGTTGCCGTTGCTCAGCACCCGCCTATGCCGCAGTCCCCAAGGCACTGGAGCCCTTGACCCTCAACAGCACCTGTAAAGTTCTCGAGTCTTGTGCATCAAGACCCTTGGGCCTATAGTCTTTGGAAGTTCTCTGGAACCCAAAGTCTGCTGCAAAGCCTTCATAGTCCTCTGCTTGCTTCTCCATCTTCTCTGTCTCTATACCTTCACCACCATTTACTACGTCTGCTCCCTGCAGGAACTTCTCCAGCTCACCCTTGAATTCTTCAACCACTTTCTTGCTGCTACTGCTACTGCCAAAGCTGCTGCTGCTACAATTGCCATCATTGGCATAGCCACAGCCCTACTCCTCACACTGTCAATTCAGCCTGTCCCACCCAGGACAAAGACCACAAGTGGGCAAGAAAAGGTCACTTAGTAGACTCCTTTTATTGGAACAAATGGTGCAACACAAGAAGGCAGAACACAGAAGATTCCCTCACTGACTCAAAGTGTAGGGCACAGCCTGGTCATATTGCCACACTCAGAAAGGTGTGGCATGCAAATATGGGATTGTACTTTGTACCAATAACAGCACACCTTCCAGTTTCCCCCAGACCAATCACAATCCTTCCTAAGAAGTAATCACAAGTCATATATAATACAGCAGGTATCTGCCAACCACAAGCTTTTCACTGAGTCACTAGGGGTCCACTATGCCTCGTTCTACCTGTTGATGGTTAGGGCAGAACTCTGCAGGGACTGGGGCTTTCTGGAACAGCTTCAAGGTTGGTCATCTGGAAATTCCGGAGGCCTGGAATGACCAGAGTGAAGTTTTCCAGTGCTGGCACAGACTGGAGTAGTTATAAGTGGAACAAGGCTTCCTGAACAGCTGCAGCCACCAGCTATGGTTGAAAGTGTTGCTTGTAGCAGGAGTGGAGTTTCTTCAAGGTGTCCATTAAGCATTCAAAGCTACCAAGCTGTCAACCCAATGGGTCACCTGAAGAGGAGCTTCTGAGGTAACAGAGCATAAGGGTAGAGTCCATTAACTGTCAATCAAGGGGGATAAATGACTGACTTCCTACAATTTCCTCATTCACCAGGAGAAAAAAAATTAAAGTACACTCACAATAAAAACCTAGGAAATACATACTATTTTCAGTATAGCAGTGCTGAACACCCAGCTATAAACCCTTACTGCTTACTGCAGTGCCTACCATCTCCCTCCTTGGGAGTCCTGCTCACCTGCCACAAGCATGCTGACCCACCTTCTGGCCAATTCTAGGCTTTTGGGACCCTACTAAGGATAGCTGCATACATGATGTACTCGGCTTGTGCTTTGCTGAATGGCTCTTGCTGCTTTTCTCCCTCTCCAGTCTCCACAGCAGAGAGAGGAACAGATGTAGCCCCTGAAGCCAAGGCAGAAGAATATCTATCCATCTAGTTGCTGGGCTACTTGGAAAAGACAGCAATTCACTGTGGTCCAATTCTACAGTTGTATATAGATATGTTTGTTAAACTTTGAGAAACCAGCATGGATCTCTGCATCTACTTCCACCAGTTACTGGATGAAGGTTCTATGATGACAATTAAGGTAGTCGTCAATGTGATTATAGGGAAAAGCCAGTTCAGGGAGCCTCTCCACTATTGCTTAGCATCTTAGTTGGGGTCGTGGATTCCTGGGAATTTCCTTAGTGCCAGGTTTCTTGCTAATCCCATAATGGCTCCCTCTATCAAGGTATCTCTTTCCTTGTTCTCTCTCTCTGTTCTTCCCACAACTTGACCATCCCATTCCCTTTAGTTCTCCTCCCCCTCCCTTCTCTCCTCCCTATCCCCTTTTCCCCTTTCCCCATGCTCCCAATTTACTCAGGAGATCTTGTCTATTTCACTTTTTCAGGGGATCCATGTATGTCTCTCTTAGTGTCTTCCTTCCTTGTTACCTAGCTTCTCTGAGGTTGTGACTGTAGGCTGTTTACCCTTTGTTTTACATCTAGTATCTACTTATGAGTGAGTACATAACATGTTTGTCTTTCTGAGTCTGGGTTACCTTACTCAGGATGACTTTTTCTAGTTCCAACCATTTACCTGCAAATTTCAAGATGTCATTATTTTTTTACTGCTGAGTAGTACTCCATCGTATAAATGTACCACATTTTCTTTATCTATTCTTTGGTTGAGGGGCATCTATGTTGTTTCTGGCTATGACGAATAATGCTGCTATGAAAATAATTGTGCAAATGTCCTTGTTACAGTATGAGTGTGCATCTTTTAGGTATATGCCCAAGAGTGATATTGCTGTGTCTTGAGGTAGATTGATTGCCAATTTTTTAGAAACCACCATGCTAAGCCCTGGGCCGAGCTCCAGTCGAAGAGAGAGAGGAGACATAATATGAACAAAAGAGTCAAGACCATGATGGGGAAACACACAGAAACAGCCAACCCGAGCTAGTGTGAGCTCACTGCCTCCAGACTGACAACTAGGGAACCTGCATAAGACTGAACTAGGTCCCCTCGAATGTGGGTGACAGTTATGTGGCTTGGGCAGTTTGTGGGGCCACTGACAGTAGGAACCAGTATTTAACTCTAGTACTTGAACTGACTTTTTGGAGCCCATTCCCTATGGAGTGATACCTTGCTCACCCTAGATACAGGGGGGATGGCCTAGGTCCTGCCCAAAATGATGTGATAGACTTTGTTGACTCCCCATGGGAGGAGGTCTCACCCTCTCTGAGGAATAGGTGGGAGAGATGGTGGGGGGATAGGGAGGAGTGGAGGGAGAGGGAATTGGGATTGGTATGTAAAATAAAAGATTATTTCAAAAATATCAGTGAGTTATTCATCAGCTTGTGGGTGTGGTTTGTTGAGCTCTTATTAGGAACAGGCGCTATACATGCAGAGGGTGTCAATACATTTACAAATGAAAAGCATGAGTCCCATAGAAGTTTAGTCCCATGCCCAAGAGCCTGAGGCTAAAATGTGGGTAAGACTGCTGCCCAGGGCTGACTTTAAAAGTTTTTTTTTTCTAAAAGCCCATATAAAACTACCTATAGGCCAAGAAGACATTTCCACCTGAAATTTTGTCAACTAGCTGTTTGTGCTGATTAATGTGTATGTCAACTTGACAGAAGCTAGGGTATTTGGGAAGAGGGAAGCTCAGTTGAGGAAATACTTCATTAGATTGCCTGTTACAGAATATGTGGGGTATTTTCTTGAGTAGTGGATTGATGGGGGAGGGCCCAGCCCACTGTGGGTGGTGCCATTT